AAAAAAAAACCCTAGGATTCCGATATCAAATGTAGTTAACGACATTGCAACTAACATTATGTTCGACTCTGAAAAAAGCTAACGGGGAGTCTACTAACCTGCCATATTGAAATGTTCTCCAACTACTTCCCATACTCGCCGCCATTCCAACCGAATACGTCCCATATTGTAGAAAGCCACCTCAAGTGTAACATTTGCATAGACTAACGATCTTATAAAACCAAAAGGAGATGCAATATACACCCATAAAGCAGATAAGATTTTCAAAAAATAGTTGCAAGTCCATAACCTGTCTAAACTAACCTCGACCAATTTTCCAAGCAAAAACATCCGTGGGGCAGCCGGTTGGTTCAGTTCCTCCTTGGAAACGGCACAAAGAGCTCGTACAAAGCACACAATAGCATCAGCTGTCAATCGACAAGATCCTTGGAAAATTCTAGAAGATGGCCAAATGAATGACGCAAAAAAGGTTAATAATCTAAGTAAAACTTTCAACTCGATAAACATTGGCCGTTGTTCTCTTCACATGTCAAAAGTTGGTACATTTTCAATTCACTTTGGGACTTACCTGTCCACAGCAACTACGACGGCTTGTGAACTGGTTTCTCCTAGGGCTCCTTGTAATGTGGCAAGCGTACGTTCATCCAAAGCTCCCGTGCTTTTCATCACATCTATCAAAGGAATGTCTTTTTTTTTGAAAAATTCAAAAAAGGTGTAGAATAAATGTGCATCTCTTCCCTTACATTGCCGACTGCTCTCCTTGTCTTCTTTGGCTCCCGTTCCTAACCCTGTTCCTATCAACTGCGCAAGCTCAAGTTGGCTTATACATCGAATCACGTCGACCCAATTGTCTTCGAGATAATCGCCGTCTTCCTCGCCTAATTTGGTTTATAGGAGATAGAGAGAAATCCAGTAGAAAATTCAACACTAACCAATAGCGAGAAGCAGTTTAATAGCCTCAATATTTTTCTCTTTCATTTCTCCCAAAGCATTTTTTGCGGTAAGAAGAGTAAACCTCGCCAAGGCCTGAGAATGTCGTGTGATCATAATAAAATTGCATGACATAAATTTCATTGGATCCTACCTGTATGAAAGCATTTCGTTCTAGTCTGGACCTCAGAACGCAAGCAGCACGTACTCCTAGTCGGAAACCTCGAATGCACAGGTACCATTCTTCTACGTCATCAGAAGCCTGGAGACCCACACTAAACGCAGCTAAGCACGGTGTCCAGCATATCTGGAATAAGCAAAGAGTATCTTTGATTATGCAACAAAGCAGGAGACATCCTTGATTTAAGCAAGAGATAAAGATAAGGAATGAATTACCTTGAACATGGGTCGCACATGATGCTGGTGCTGAGCTGACGTAAAATCTGCTGCAGCATTGCTAGCACTTTCCATCAATGATCTGGCTGTCTCCGACATTGCGACCAGTTCGAGATTTGCTAAAGCCCGCCGTTGTTTTTCGTTCTCTCCCACGTTGGCTTTTTTAGCTTAAATTTACAAGTAAATGATGAAAAAACTAAGACATTATCATTTAACAATATACTGAGATTAACGTTAAAGCCTACATTTGAGAAGTTTGCTAGCGCCAGCCTTCATCTTAATTTCGTTAGCAGCAATGTCATCGTAGATTGCACATAGCACATCTGGCGGCAAATCAGCACCGTTGTTAATGCCGCGGTTCATATTTACATACTGATCTTTGGTCATTTTGCTTTTCACCTTAAAGATTTACTTGACAGAAAAAAAGAATGATGGAGGAAAAAAACTAAAATATGCCTGAGCACTATGCAGATCAGTGGTAAGCATGATAATGGAGTAGGCAAGAACATAGGCAGTGTCCGCAGAAGCAAACAATCCCAGACTAAATAAAATGAGGAAATCACATCAAGAAACCAAGCACCAAAAACGACCAAAACAAATTCGAAAGTAGGCAAATTTCAACAAAAATGATTTTCAAAAAGAAAAAGCACACCTTGGATTGCATTCACAATACCGCGAAGCAAACTTTTCCATGAGTCGATCAATTTTTTGAGCTTCACCAGGTAATCGGAATTTTTCCAAAAATATCCTCAGCGATGAGACAAAATCGCGACTTGAGAAATCGAAATCATCTACGTATGCGTACATGATTTGCTTGTTAAACCTAAGAAAACAAGACACTCATATTAACAAATAATAAGTGAAAACTACGAGCAAAACTTACTCATCAGGATCTCCAAGAAAATCTCCCACTACAGTTTTATCAAGTCGTTCTTCTTTCATCAAAAATTCAGCAATTTCACTAGGCTCGGTGCCAACAAAACCATGTTCTTGCAAAAAGGCTAGTCCCTGTTTCGGTTTACGTGAGAATCTGAAAATAGTTTTGTGATCTGATTGGTGATATTTTTAATAAACGATCTACGAACAGCATGATCCCGTGTTCCATGAGCTCCTTCTTTTGCTTAAGATGAATAAATTTATGTACAGTAGGGGAAGAAGGCAATTCTGCGGCTGCTTCGTCTTCGTCTAAACATAGAGGAATGACATGTGCAAGTGAGAAAAGTAAAGGGAAGCTACCTGCTTTTCCTTGATACATTGCATCCTTTGTTGTTTCACATACATCAAACCAATCTACAAGGCACTGGAGGAGATCGGTCAAACAGCTTAATCCGAGTAATCGCATAGCCCTTTCACTGAAACAAAGCATGCTCCAATAAATTGATCATTTACTTCTTTGTATAGTTCTCACCGCTCTTTTTGAAGAACGGGAGCATTGTCATTGATGGAAGTTCTCGCTGTTTTAGATACAACTTCGACTAGATTCTCAAATACATTATGTGCTGTCAAATCACAGTCATAATTCACGTACAGATCCACCACAGACTGAGGATTTGCAAGAATTTTACCTAGACTGCGTAACATAAATACAGTTAATCCAAT